TATTGCTATCCTGTTTCTGTCGCCTTCAAAAGTTTGAGTGTAGGTACTTTTAAATGTCAGAGGAGGTGATTTCATTTGGCTTTTTGCTTCTGTATCTTGTGGACTTAAAGGTAGAGATGAGGCTTTACTCTCATCAGCTTGGAAACTGATATGTAAGATATCATGGTATGTATTTACCCATGATACCTGTTGCTGTTGAATTGATTCCGACTCATAGTGAGCCTATAGGACAGAGTAGAACCACCCCATAGAGTTTCCAAGACTATCATTTTTATGGAAGCAGACTGCTACATCTATCTCCACAGAGCATCTGGTGGGTTTGAACTACCCAGTCAGCTGCTGAGTGCTTAACCATTATACTACTGGGCTCTGTCATAAAAGAAACAGACTCCAATAAGTTTGGGCTAAGACTACTGAACCTCATCTGGGTGACTGTCTTACTGTTTAGGGTAGTCAGAGGCATGGGGCTAGATAGGGAGAGGTTGTAAAGGGTATGGATAGCCGACCCTGTCAGAATAACACTTTGAGACCATTTTTACAATGATTCAATATTTAAATATTATAATTTTATTTTTTAAAAAAGATTCTTGCATTTGTATTACTTGCTCAGTGTTTTGTATTAATAAAAATATTAAGATATATTAATATATAGTAGGGAACTCTGGTGGCTCAGTGCCCAAGGCAATTGAGTGCTAACCAGAAGGCTGGTGGTTCAAACCCACCAGCTGCTTCTTGGAAGGAAAATGGGGCAATCTACTTCCATAGTGATACTGCCTCGGAAACCCAAGGAGGGGTTCATACTAGAACTGAGAGCTCCACATTTGTACTGATAATACTGATAAGGGTTGACCACCCACCCAATCTTCAATCTTAGGAAACTGAGGGTATCTTGGATTGCCCCTTCTTCTTTATCTCCCACATCTAACTCCGAGTTCCATTACTTTTAAATTTTCACAACTCAACATATCTTGTATCCATGTTTTCTTCACTTTTCTATGTAAATTCCTGAATCTAAGTCCTTCGTATGTGTTGTCTAGACCTTTATAACTGTTCTTAACTGGATTCCCTGCCACAGTCATTCTTCCTGCTAATTTGTTTTTCATATAACCTGTTCTCCATGTTTTTTGTGTAACTTGTTCTAGCCATGTATGCAATAATTTTATTCCCTGACTTTAAGCTCCTCCCAATTGACTTAAGGATAAGGTCAGTTTCTTTAGAATAGAATATAAGCCCTTCTAAGGGCTGACTCAACGGCACCTAACAAAAACAACAAAAAGTGCTTACCTCACTTCTTTGCCTAGTCTTTTTTTTTTTTTTTTTTTTTTAGGATTTGGGTGAAGATTTACAGAGTAAATTCACTTTTCATACAGCAGTTCACATATACTTTGTCTCATGTCATTGACCAAAATTTACAATGCAGCAGCTCCCCTCCCACTTCCTCCCCATAGTTACCTCCTCCCGGTGTCCATCCCTTCATACTCTTCTGCACCCTGAGCTATCTCCCTGTGCATAAGCGGCCCTTCCTTCTCCCATGATTGTACTCTCCAGGGCGTGTGTCTACTTGAGGTAAATGTTTAACTCACATGCCTGTACTTTGTTTGGCTGGAAACCACAGTTGTGGGTTCAATTCCAGACCTGAAGGGCAGCTAGGGGCCATAGTCTCAGTGGTTACACCACTTTGCCTAGTCTTTTATAGACCCTTACATCTGCTAGCTCCCCTGTCACACTGAGTTACTTAGAGTTCTGGAATGCATCATTGAACACTGGCAAGAGGGAGAGGAGAGAGAAAGATAATCATTAAGGTGGCGTCACAGATCTGAAGGAACTCTAGTTAATGGAGAGAGTTACAGGCAAGTGTCCTGACATAGGAATGTTATTTTTCTTTTCTCAGACCCAGTTTCTTCTGGCTATGTGCCTTATGAAATCTGTTAGTGTAGAGTGCTGTGGGGAGCTCTGGTAGCATAGTGCCTAAGGCACTTGACTGCTAACCAGAAGGCTGGAGGTTCAAACCCACCAGCCACTCCTCAGAAGGAAGGTTGGGCAATCTACTCCTGTAGTGATACTTCCTCGGAAACCCAAGGAGGGGTCTCTATGAGTCGGGGCCGACTCGATGGCACATAGCAACAACAACAACAGAGTGCTATGCTTTCTGAGTCCTTCTCGTCCTCTTACAGAATTGCCGTAGAGTGGCATCACTAGTAGTAGGAGGTTTTTCCATCAGGAAAAGCAGGTCTTTAGGGAACCATCGTTAGAGAAGTTGACTGCCTAACCAGGCCTCTGAAGCACTCCTGGGTAGATTTGTGGTACCTGCATGCCACTGCACCTGAGCACAGGCTCTTCCCCTGCACATCCTGACCGTATATGGTCCTGATTTTGCTCACTGGGCTGGCCAGCCATGCCTTGTGTTCTAGAGTTTCTGGGACCTCAAACTTTTGGATTCCTAGGTGGTGCAATGGTTAAGTGCTAACTGAAAGGTAGGCAGTTTGAACTGACCCAGTGGCTCAACAGGAGAAGCACCTGGCAATCTACTTCTGTAAAGATTATAGCCTAGAAGACCCTATGGGGCAGTTCTACTCTGTTAATGGGGTTGCTATGCATCAAAAATTGACTTGACAGTACCCAGCAAAAACAACAGAAAACCCAGAGCTAGTCCTTCTTGATGGATGCATGGAGTTCAACTAGGCGTGACAGATGGTAGGCTGTTGCCGCTCAGGTCCAGGAGATAGAGAGACCCTTAGCCATTTGGAAGTCGGATTCAGTAACTGTAGGCTTTTAATGTGACTCTACATGTATGCATTTGTATGGATATATGAGCACATTTATTGTACATGTGTAAAGGTCTCGGAAGGAAGGTTGGGCAATCTACTTCCGTAGTGATGCTGCCTCGGCAACCCAAGGACTCGACGGCACTTAACAACAACAACAACAGCAACAAAGGTCACTTTAAATTAATCTAGTAATATTGTTACTCTTACTGCCTTTTATGCAAAGAGGAGAGAAAAACCAGAAAATCTTGGTTTGACTTTCTAACAGTAACACAGATTAGAACTTTTACCATTTGTGCCTAATTACCATGTAGTAAATAGTGATTAACACAATGAAGAACTGTGCCAGATTTGTTATAAATTTTATTCAATTATGATTGATAATAACATATTGTTATTGCTGATGATAATCTATCATTATGAACTGACCATAGTTTTTAGAACCTATAAGGAACATTGATTACATCTTAGAAAAGAAAGGTTAGAAAACAGTGGTTCCAATGTTGCCAATGTTAAGTTTATCCCATTGTAAATAGTAGGGCTTACTTGCAGTTTGAATTGAATGATTCAATTATGTAAACCACATTTAAGGGCAGAAGAGTAAACAGATTGATCCATTATCAGCTCAAACAAAAGTAATTAGTTTAAATTTATTATCATAATTAAAGAACTTCCAGGTACTAGAATGCAAAACTTTTTCAGCTATGAAAAATATGAGTGCCCTGATGTAGTAACTAAATCAACTCACTCAGTTACAGGCCTGGAAAATACTGTCAGCTGTTGTCATGCTCAGACAAGGAGCTGATTTATTATTATAAATATAATAATATGTTATAAATATATATATATATATATATAAATACATATATAAATACATATATCTAGTTGATTTCGACTCATAGTGACCTTATGTACAACAGAATGAAACACTGCCTGGTCCTGTGCCATTCTCACAATTGTTGCTGTGCTTCAGCCCATTATCATAATCACTATGTCAATCCATCTCATTGAGGGTTTTCCCCCTTTTACTGACCCCCTACTCTACCAAGCATGATATTCTTCCCCAGGGACTGGTCCCTTCTGACAACATGACTAAAGCACAAGAAATCAAGTCTGGCCATCCTGGCTTCTAAGGAGCATTCTGGCTGTACTCCTTCCAAGACAGACTTGTTTGTTTTTCTAGCAGTCTGTGGTACGTTCAGTATTCTTCCTCAACACCACAATTGAAATGCATCAATCTTTCTTCTGTCTTCCTGTATTCATTGTCCAGCTCTCACATACATATGAGGCTATTGAAAATACCTTGAGTTAGGCACATCTTAGTTTTCAAAGTGACATCCTTGCTCTTAAACACTTTAAAGAGTTCTTTTGCAGCAGATTTGCCCGATGCAGTACATCATCATTTGATTTCTTGACTGCTTTTTCCATGAACATTGATTGTGGATTTAAGTAAGATGAAATACTTGACATTTCAGTCTTTTCTTCATTTACCTTATTGGTCCAATAAGGATTTTTGTTTTCTTTATGTTGAGTTGTAATCCATACTGAAGGTTGTAGTCTTTGATCTTCATCAGTAAGTGCTTCAAGTCTTCATTTTCAGCAAACAATAAATACATATATATTGTGTGTTTATGTATATAAATAAATAAATAAATAAATAATAACTTTAAATAAAATTTCATGCTTTGCTTTCTTCTTAAGACTCAGCTTAAAGAAGTATTTTACCAAAATGATTCCACTGATTGGCATAAAAAACTATCAAAACAGGAAGAATATACGTATTATTTCCTTCATTTTGAAGATGATAAAACACAGGTCCTAGAGGTTTATGCTGTTTGATTAAGGGCCTGTCAGCAACTTAAAAATAAAAGGCAAATAATTGGGTGAAATCTTAAGTCTGTAGGTCTTCATTCCAGTTGGAATGCCTCTGAGTGTATTTCTTGTTTTCTTATGCCTTTGTTAACTCATCTGAATTTTGGGTAGAGTCTCTTTGGTACCCGCTGTTATGAAGAATAATAATTAATATGATTGGTATTTTGTAAAGTACAAGGTGTTCTTAATTAAAAAACAACCATGTTGTATATTAGTGCTGCTTCCACTAGATATTACTGAATCTCTTACAAAGAGGGTAAACATTCATGTAGAATTACGAAGGCTCAGCAAATGGTAAGAGTAAAGGATGTATGTACATGGTACGTACAGACTGTCACAACTTCACAGCATGCAGACCAGAATCTAGCTATCCCATATCTTGAAGTCAATGACAGAGGGTTCCCCCTTTGCCAGATGCACACGTTCTTCATACTTTGTGGCAATATACAGCTCTGGGTGGGTCACTGATCTGAAGTAGTGCATCATGCCATGGTTTTCCCACAAGAAGAGGAGGTTGGTTTCATCTGTGATGACTCTGGGTGTTTCAGGCATCTCCTATGATAAGGAGAACAGAGTTCTGTTAGAGGACAAGAAGATGCTAGAAAAAGAACCAAAACTCAATCCTTTGGCATTTGGTCTTCAAGAGAAACATAGCGCTCTAGGACTATGATTTTGTAATAAGATAATATAGGCCTTTCATTCATTTGTTCATTCAGCAAGCCTTTATTACATGACTATTAGATGTATGACACAGTCTACTCATAATAATTGATTTTCTTAGTTAACTGCTAAGAAATCCAAATTAGTCTTTGGATTGTCTGTGACACTAGTTTCTCACTGTATCCTGATTGGAGGGGTGAAATATTATTCTTGTCCTGCCTTCAGTACAGGCATAAGGCATTTTGTATCAAATCAAAGCACTGGTAAAAGACTTCTAAACATTTTGACCTCTATGCATACAAATCTTATTTTGGCAAATAATTTAGGTTTTGATGACACTTATCTCTGTAGATAAAAAAAAATGCTTTAATTGTTGACTTTTTTGAAAAACAACACAAAAACTTCCCAGATATATCAGTAGCTGAACTCTTTTAATATAATTTCTAGGCAACTACAATGATCATTTTAGATTTTATTGTTCTTGTTAATATGAATAAAATCTAACAATATGGAAGAATAACTTTCAAATTCCAACTTGAGACAGTGGCATCACTAGGGGGGTGCAGACCACACTGGGTGACACTGTCAAAGTGGGTGACACAAAAAACAACTGTCTGTAAAATTTTTATGCAGTGTTTCAGTATAAAATTATTATTTTTAATAAGAAATATTCATGTAATTATAACAACAAAAGCATTTTTCATAAGCGCAGCTTATATGTATCAATATACTTACAAGGCTAAAACCCTATGCTAATTTACTCTTTGGACCTTCTAATGTGGTCCAGTCAGTGCAATCATAATGATGCTTGAATCATGTGGTTTTGTCTACACATGCTACAAGCATGTGCTGTTGTTTGTGTTGCTGTCAGTGTGTTTATAGTTGCTGATTTTGTCAGATTATCAGTGTTTTAGGTACAATAATGTAGTAAGTAGTATTTGTGAACCCATATCAATAACTTTTTTGAGAACGAAGAAGTAATTAAAGGAAAAGAAGGAAAAAAATAAAAAAAGGTTTCCTCTCAGTTGCTAATATGTAACTAATGTTACAATTCAATGTAGAAAGGTTTTACTAAACAATTTTGTTGTTAATATTCATATAATCTAAGAAATACTACATTTAAGTCATTTACAACTGTATTTATCACAAGTTATTCTATTATAAAATTGATAATAAACATTATGAAGGATTCTGTATGGTCTGGTATGAGAGGAGGTCCATGGCCATGAGGGTTGATACTATGAGTTACCACACTAGGTGACACCAGCCCTAGTGATGCCACTGACTAATACATGTAAATATCCATTTTCTTACAGTTTTCAATGACAATAAAGATTTTATATCCCTAAGCTACTCCTCTCCTATTTTTTCCCATCTCAGTAAATAGACTTTGCCTCTTTCTCTTGTTGGTTCTATCTCTCAAAGCCGATTCTGTCAATTTCTTCCCACATTTCTTTCTTTCCCACCCCCATGACTACTGTTACAGCCTCCTAATTGGGCTCTCTCCTTTCTCTATTTCCCTTGTTCTGATCTGTTCTCCATTTCAGACAACGTAAGAAAGGTCAGGACATGGTCCTGTTTGAAACCCTTTAATATATTTTCACTGTACCTGAAATGAAATCCAAATGCAAGGCCCTGCAAACACTAGCTTCTGCTTATCTTCTTCCTCAAGATGCTGAGCTCCAAGAGTTCTCCTTCTTTGAAGGTAGCCTTTAAGCTCTTTAAGCTCTGTGTGTGCTCACAGGTCCCTTTGCCCTCCCTTGCCTGTGTGCTCCCTCCTATCAGCAGCTCCCATCTCTCAGGGAGCTCTGCTCTTGCCACTCTACCTAAATGGCACTCTCCCATTTTTCTCTATCTCAGCACTGTATTTTCTTTATAACACTTTGCACTTTTTGTTGGTTTTCTATCATCTGTGCACCCCAGAAGCCTAAGTTCTTTAAAGCTAGGGACTTTGGCTTAGAATTCTCTACACAGCTGTTAGCACTATGTTTGAAAAATAGAAGGTGCCCAATGTTGAATGAATTTGTGAATGAAGCTACTATCCTACTCAGTAGCTGTTATTTTCATTGCATTTGATCCATATAAATCCTAATTAGATAAAGTGACTCTTAGACGGAGATAACATCTAAGCCAATAATGGGCTTGTGTATGTGTGTGTCTGTGTGTCTGAGTTTGAAGGGGAAGGAGACTGTGGAGTGGGGTTGGGGCTAGGATGAGGGATAGTACTTGTATCAATAAAGAAGGAGGGGCGCTAGAGTCAGAAGGCCAGGATTTGAGTTTTGGTTCCTTGTTGTTGTTGTTGTTGTTATATGCCGTCGAGTCGGCCCCGACTCATAGCGACCCCTCCTTGGGTTTCTGAGGCAGTATCACTACGGAAGTAGGATTGCCCAACCTTCCTTCCGAGGAGTGGCTGGTGGGTTTGAACCGCCAGCCTTCTGGTTAGCAGTCAAGTGCCTTAGCCACTATGCTACCAGAGCTCCAAACTTTTTCTTTTATTCCACTTTATAAACGTCCTGGTGGCATAGTGCCTAAGGCATTTAACTGCTAACCAGAAGGCTAGCGGTTCAGACCCACCAGCCACTCCTTGGAAGGAAGATTGGGCAATCTACTTCTGTAGAAATTCTGCCTCGGAAACCCAAGAAGGGGTCACCATGAGTCAGGATCAACTCGGCGGCAATGAGTTTGGTTTTTTGTGTTTTTTTAAAAGCTATTTGTATTTTCCAAATATTATTTGAAATATGTATTTTATAGACAAGAGTCAGTATGAGCCAGAAACATTCTATAGAATAAACCATTTTTTAAAGACATATAGTGGAAATCAGGGAAAGCTCACATTTATTTAGATGTGGCTATGTTCCATGAGAATATGTCAGCATCCAAAGTGCACAGACACAATGACTTTGGCTTTTCTTTCCACACAAACTATTGACAGTCTTCCCTTAGAGCCTATTTTTGATGGTGAGTTGGTATGCCAAATAGATGGCACACTGACCTTTGTAAGTAGGATCTCCAAGACAAGGTAAGGATGGAGCAGGGTCAACCATCAGAATGAATTCAGGTTTAGAACAAACTGGCTTTGACTTCAGCTAAACCCAGAGTCTATCCTGAGGCCCATGAGAGATAAATACAAGTTTTAGAATCACATTTACAAGTTCCTAACTTTCTGCTGTACAGTTGACAGGTGATTTATCCTCTTGGGTCCTCAGTTGGCTTATTTGAGTTTCTTGAAGGCAGGACCCTTGTCCTTATTGCCTTGTAGCATGTAGGTTGGATAGTAGGCATCAGTAAAGAGTGATTGAATAAGTGGATGCCCAGGGATGGGAGGCAAATAGGATCAGGTAGGGAAAGGAGAAAAGAAGGAAGAAGCTGATTTCTCTCTTACTGACTCTTATCTCCTCCATTTTACTCACAGATACTACCAAAGATTGTCTCTGGGGATAGGTGAGAAGTAGGGTACAGAGATGAGTAGGTGGGGATTGCGGAAGGAAGGGAAGAGGACTGTGCCACTCTGCTAGGTGTGTCTGCCCACTGGAATCACTTACAAACACATGCGATGTAAATAAGGGTAAGTCTGAGACAGAGGACAACTGACCTTCAGCAACACTGGTTCATCTTCATTTTGGGCACTTACAAACAGTCGAGATTTTGAGATTCTTAGAGTCACAGGCATGCTAAACTCATCTGCTGGTTTATATGCACCTATGTCAAATTTCACTGGTAAAGAGAAGAGCCAAAAAGAAAGTAAATTTATTGTGTTTGCATAAAATGTTTATGTAGATACTGTATATGTGAATGGTTAGGTCCCCAACTGTGGTGTAAGTTCTTGAGGTCATGGGTGGAATTTCATACATTTTTGTATCTTTCACAGTGTCTGTCACATTTATGAGACAGATAGATGCTAGGTTGATACATTTCTATGCCCTAAGAATTTTCTGTGTTGAATGAATGCTTGCAGGATGATTAAAAATTTCTTCAGACTCTTCTAATTGTTAGTGGGATAAGACCCTGCAATTTGTTAGGTCATGAGTTTATAATGACCTAAAATGGAGAGGTTTAAGGAAACTGATACACTCTTATGTTGCTAGTAATGCTAAAAAAATGGTTTACTTTTCCTTAAAGAACAATGTTTAATAAGAACTATAATTATTTATGTCTGTAGACCCAGAAATTCCACTTTGGCATATGCTCCAAAGAAATAACCTCAAAGTGGAAAAAACCCAATAATATATACAAAGACAATTGCAACAGAACTGCTTAGAGCAAATCCAAGGGACCGGCATAGCAACATGATGGAATACTTTAGTGTCATTAAAAAACAGCAAGTAATATATGATGTCAATATGTGGGAATCCTGTGTCAAATGATATTAAGTAGGAAAATACAACACAGAAGAATTTGCAAATGGCATAGAATAAAAACGATTATTATCTATAGTGTGTACCATCAGAAAAAGCTCTGCTTGTTTATTGAAAAATTCACTCTTTGGGTCTCTGAAAATAATTTTATATACTAATGGTGTGCTCTGAAGCTAAAATATGTCCACCATGGTAAAGGGTCACTATGATTCAGAGTCAACTTGATGGTAGTGAGTTTGGGTTTTTTGGTTTATGGTAATTGGATATGTATGACAAAATTTTTTAGACACTATATCTCATCCTTCAGATCATATTTGCAGCTTATTGACTGTTTGGTCTCACAATTATATTATCAAAGATAAAAATGATTTTTCTAATTTGGCACTCTTTGTAAATTTGATCAGCAGGCTTTCCAATGAAGAATGATAACTCCTCATTGGTTTCTAGGTACCTTTGAGTAAGTTGTGTAATAATTCTGAGATTCAATTCCCTCATCTTTAAAATAAAAGGTAAGAATATCTGAGAGATCCAAATGAAATAGTGTATCAGAAAGCTTTGTACTCTACTTAGTGCTCTCAAATATAGGGGACATCTCTCTTGTGGATCTTCTCAATTTGGCTAAAACTTACGTCCTTTTTTGGGAGTTTTACCAGGGGTGATGGGTTTCATCCTATCCTAGAACTGTACAAAGCCAGGAATCTAGAAAGTAGAAATCTGAAAGTAAAGAAGTAAGGTGAAGGGAAATGACAGTATTGACCACTTACCTGCATTTTCCAGATTATTTAATGCAGCAGCCTTGAGGTATGGACCTATTGGGTCTCGAATTAAACTTTGAGTGAGGGCGTCATTCAGGATGCACTGGCTTTTGATGGTGTAAGTATAGCGGTATTTCACATTGTCCTGGAAAGCGTATGATGCTAAACTGGGCTTGATGATTTCTAAAATCATTATGACAAGCTCAGATTAATGTCTAGATACAAACACAGATGATATATATACCCTTATACAATTATAGAAAGTAGCTATGGAAGCCACATTAGGAATATTCCAGTCCAGGTGAGAAGTGAAATCACCCAGTACACAGTAGAACTGCTTCTAGGATTGTCTCTGGGATTATTTATTTGCTTCTTTTTAAGCTTTGATTCCTCAGGCAATAATTCCTCTACCTCCCCAAAAGATTATTTGTGAAACATTCTCATTTTTGGTTGTTTGGAAGTTTCTAAGTAACCATGAAGAATAGCAGTATCCACCATTATATTTTCAAAGGAATGCGCTCAGAAAATGAAATGAATTAAAAATTGTCTGTGCCACTGAGGGTGCAGGTCTACTACTTTTCTGGAAAGTGATATGTATCAGTAGCTTCACAAATCCCCATCCAAACGAAACCCCCATGGCTCTGAGTAATTCCACTTCTAAGAATCTCTTCTAAGGAAATTAATGGTGATGGAAATGAAGATTTGTTGATATGCACGTTCATCACTGCATTACTTATATTGGTGAAAAATTGGCATGCCAAATGTCCATGACGCATTGCTAAGTGAAAAGAGCTGAATATAAAATTTTGTATAGTATAATTATAATAATATTAAACAATTTTTTACATATGTATGTATGTATATAGAAAATACTTTAAGAAAGTGTACCATAGGGTAGGCTTGAGTTGTAGTATGAGCGATTTTAATTTTCTTTGTTATATTTTCTAACTTTCTTGGTAAAATGCATTTTTGTTTAGATGTTATCTTAAAGACAGAAATATTAGGTTTATGTTTCATGTGGAGGCTTGTACAGTAAGGCAAGAGAGAAATGTTTTAAAATTATTTTTTTAGTCAGATAGAACTGAATTTGATTTGGGACTCTCCCACTTATAGGCTACATGTCTTTGGGCAGATTACTTTTCTCACTGAGCTTAGCTTCCTCATATGTAAAATGTGAATGTAGGGTTGTTGTTAGGTTTATATATAATGCAGGCATTAATACATTAGTAATATTGGTGGTATTAATAAAAGTAATAGTAGTAGTAGTAATAACAACAATTACAATAATAGCTAAAATTTATTGGGTGCTTACTATGTACCAGACATTATTCTCATCCAGAGATTTGGGAATGTTAATTCATTTAATCTTCACAATAATTCAGTGAAGGACTCTGATTATCTCCATTTGACATTAGAGGAAACTGAAGCACAGAAAGGTTTAATAACTTTCCCAAGGAGGCATAACTAGTAAATGCAGGAAATAGCTTGTAAGGTCACCCACTTAACAGTATAGTGTTTTTCACCCCTCTCCCCCAAAAGGCTAAAAGTCACATGACCTTTACAACATGACCAGGAAATGAGCCTGTGTGCAAGTATTTTAGACTCAAGCCACTTTCACTCATTACACTTTGGAAAAGGATAAAACTTAATTTTCTGGTAAGGTGGTGACCTAGTTAGACATTTTGGCATTTCTCTACAACAAAGACCCAAATAATCAAGCAAAACAAATGCAGGTGATAATCCTGGAATCCTGAGCATCAAAGGAAAAGATAAAGAATTAGATCAAACACCAATTGGAGGAAGAAACTGAATGAAAGTAGTAAACGAGGAGAGATAAAGAGCAGAGGTACCTGCTAGCTAGTCTGACACAACGTGGACATTTTGGGACATTCCTGGGTGAGGAGCACAGGAAAGCAACTTGAAGAATGCTCAATAAGGCAGAGACACAATGCAGACAAATCCAGAGTGAAACAAGGAGAGCAGAACATGAGCTTGATCTAAGAAAGGAAAGTGATGGAAAGCAAGTAGGAACTCCAGAGACTCAGGTGACCACAGGGCAGAGAGGGGCCAGTAGATAGGGATAAAACAAATCACCAGTAGGGGTCCCTGATTATTTGGATTAGGGACCCAAGTGGAGGGGAAGATCTATGAGGGTAGTGGCTGGAGATGGACTTTGGGTGCCCCTTCCCCCTTGTGTTGAGTTGGGGTAGGAATCAGATAATCGACTATATTTACTCATGGTGCACATGCCAGTGACTGGCAACCAAAGAATTGTGCTCTTCTTTGTTTCTCCCACACCCTCTTAGTGACCAGTGGTGTGCCTTCCCCAGCCTCCAATCACCAGTGGCTAATGATGCCCCCTCTGTCCCTCCCCCAATTTGTAGTCTGCATGGCCTACCTTCTTTCCCATGATCCCCTACTACTCTACTCCCCAGTGGCCTGTAGTGCACTCCCACATATTGCATTCCACATGCCTGCCACTGTGCCACTTTTCCAGTGACTGGGGATGTGCACTCCCATAGGCCATGTGCCACCTGCTTGCCACCTCTGCTATTGGAGGCCTGTGCTCGTGTTTGCTGCTAAGCCACTTCTTTCCCCTTTCTTTCTTTCTTTTTGTTATTCTCTCTATCTCTATCTCTCTTTATCTCCCCATCCTCAGGGAGGTGGTGATCATATCCTCACAAGCCAGCCATATCCACCACACAGGCCACTTGCTACACCACCTCCCCACTGAGGGAGTGCCACAATCTACTCTTGCACCACTAGATTAATGACATACAATGGCCAACACCTGCCCAGCCCACCCTGCACCTGCACTCTTACCCATTTGCAGTGTAGTAAATTACTTAGTATGGCTTTTCTACCCATAAGTCATTGTAAACTCAGTGGTGGAATGAGCAACTGAGGAGCTCCTGATTGTAAATGTTATCCACCTGGGTTATTTCTGTTGGGAATGGCACAATGCATTGTTATGGAAGGCTCACTCTCAGGTGCTTAGAATTCTGTTGTTATGATTGGTTGGTTTGGCCACTCTGCCAACCTCAAAAGGAGGCCTCCTAGAGGCAGAACTCTGGTAGCATAGTGCCTAAGGCACTTGACTGCTAACCAGAAGGCTGGCGGTTCAAACCAGCCACTCCTTGGAAGGAAGTTGGGGCAATCTACTTCCATAGTGATACTGCCTCAGAAACCCAAGGAGGGGTCGCTATGAGTCGGGTCTGACTCGATGGCACATAACAACAACAACAACAACAACAGGCAGAACTCTCTCTGACTGCTGGCTGAGGAAGACGTGCTGCTGAAAGAGACATGCACTGCTGAAAGAGACACGCGCTGCTGAAAGAGACACGTGCTCCTGAAAGAGACATGCGCTGCTGGAAAAGAGACGCAAGAGACACGCATTGCTGAGTGAGACACTGAGGGATACTCACTGTTGGGAGAGAGACTGTGAGAGACTGTTAGGAGAAAGACTGTGGGCTGGGAGAGAGACTGAGCATTTTTCCTGAAGTTGAATTGTAGCCTGGTGCTTCCCTAATAAACCCCGTAATTTGTGAGTTCTGTGTGGCCACTGCAGTGAATTTTCAAACCCAGGAAAGAGGTGGTGGGTGCTTTGGGAGGAACGGTTGGTGAAAGGGCTGGAGGGAGGCGGCATGTCTGACCTTGCAGGAGTAGGCTTTGGGTTGCTGATAGTGATTCTGTCTTCCTCTTGTAGGGTTAGAGGAGATCAGAACATGTGGCCTCCTTGTCCTTTTTGCACCACTACTCCACCCACCTATAGACAGGTGGTGAGCAGCCCAGTGGTGCCAAACTAGTGACCTTTTCTACTTGGATATATCAAAACAAAGAAAACAAAAAATTAGGGCAAAACATGCCAATATATAATCAACAAATAAATCAATAACAATTTATCGAATATAAGAGATAATGTCAAATCACACAAAGAAACAGGAAGAAATGGCTGAAGCAAGTGACCAAAACAAAGAAACAAGAAACCTCCCTGAAGAATAAGAAAGGCAATGGAACTACCTGATAAAGAATTCAAAAGACTTATATAAAGGCCCTTCAAGAGATCAAGGAAAACAGGCAAAAATCAAGCGAAACACAGATAAAACTATAGAAGAATTCAGGAGAATAATACAAGAAAAAATTACAAAGTAAATAGACAATGAGAAACTGTACAGAAACAGCAACTAGAAATCTAGAAGATTAACACCAAAATTTCAGAAATAGAAAATGCATTGGAAGGAACATTAGGAAAAAAGTTAAAAATGCCTAAGAATTATGTGAGATAGCATCAAGAGGAGTAACTTACTTGTGATTGGGATTCCAGAACAGGAGACAAAAAAAAAGAAAGAAAGAAAAAGAAAATCATCAAATATTTGTTGGCAGAGAAAACTTCCCTAAAGTCATGATAAAAGGGAAGATATCCATTTGAGAAGCTGAATGAAGCTTAAATAGGATAGGTCCCAAAAGAAAATTACAAGATATATCATAATCAAACTTCCTGTGATGGTTGGAGCTGTATGTCAATTTGGCTGGACCACGATTCTGTGTGGTTTGAGCACTTGTGATGTGAGTTGTTCCCATGATGGCATCAGATGTATAAGTTTTGAGCAGTAATCCATTGAAGGGGAATTTCCCTAGGGGTGTGGCCTGCTTCCAGTATATTTGTGAACATCCTGGGAAAAGAGACTCTCTTCTTCTGTGGATCGGGATTCTGTTGTGCTGCCTACATGTTCATGAGTGAACAATCCACCATTCAGCTTAGAGATCTTGGATTCATCATTACTTGGAGTCAACAGCCAATATACTGCCTGCCAACCTTGAGCTCATTAGCCCCTGCAGCTGCGTGAGTTGGGAAAAGCCTCCGGACTGACATTCAATCCCGGAACTTGGGACTTGTCAGCTTCTATAAGTGTGTGAGCCATTTTCCTAAGATAAATTCCTCTCCCTCTCTCTAAGCTTTACTGGTTTTGCTTCTCTAGAGAACCCAGCCTACCACACTTCCCAAAACTGAAGACAAAGAATGAATCCTGAGAGCAGCTTAGAAAAAACAAAATGTTACCTAGAAATGGGAAAAAATAAAATTAAAGTCTGGTTTTTCAGCAGAAACTATTTGAGCAAGAAGGCAATGGGATGACATATATAAAACTCTGAAAGAAAAAAATTGCCAACTAAGAATTATA